ATGGTGGCTTTGGAAATTGGGGAAACTTTGATAATGATTTGGCAGAGTTCCTCGACCCCCTCGGTGGCCTCAGCCGCTTCGCTGGACTTGGTGGCTCTGGCAGCATTTTTGGCGGCTCCAATGGTGGTAAACTTAAAGGAGAAGAAGGCGGCTCAAACGGTGGTAACAAACTGCCTGGAGAGGGAGGCTCAAGCTCTTCAAGCACCGGAGCCAAGACAGATTGGTGGAAATTGCCCAGTATTGGCGGCTTGCTTCCGGACTGGATATGGGGTGCAGGCTGGGATTGGGACCATACAGCTGTTCCTCCCACAACAACATCAACTACACGTCGCCCATTCACGCAAAAGCCCCCAACTACCACGCGTCGCCCAACGCAGAAGCCCCTAACTACCACACGTCGCCCATTCACACAAAAGCCCCCAATTACCCCAGGTCGCCCAACTACCACAACCACGCCCCCATCTGGCCCATCCTACGGGAAAGCAAATTGTGCGAATGGTGGATATCCAAACCCTCGAGATTGCTCAAAATGTGTTTGCCCAGGTGGATATGGAGGACGACTATGCAATGAAAGGGTAGGATATCTTCACTCACTAGCGCTAATCTTTAAATGAGCATTTCAGCCGGCAGGCCCAGGAAAGGTACTGCAAGCTAATACAAAATGGCAAAAAATAGAAACTCTAGTGGGCTACGAGGGCGTGCGTAGAACTAGCGAAAAAGACGATTTCCTATTTGAATACTACTGGATACAGGTCTACACCAATGACATGATGCTGTAACAATGTTTGAACTAGTGTCACACAGGCTCCTAAAGGAAGAAAAATCGAAGTAAAAGTCGACGATATTACGCCAGATCTTGAAACTCCAGGATGCTACTGGTTTGGTGTTGAGGTTAAAGCACAGAGAGATCAACGTCTGACTGGATACAGGCAAGTTGGTGATGATTGTTTCTCCTGTATATTCCGCAAATTATCAGGTATTGCTCCGCTAAATATAAAGGAAAGACTTACAAATCAGAGGGTAATCTTGTGCCTATTGTAATGTACAGCAGAATTTGGCCAATCACAATGAATCTCTCTTACCGCTTAAGTACG